ACTTGTATAGAGTACCCAGTAAAGGAACACACCCACTGAGCCCACTCCATCCAGAAGGAACTTTCCCATAGTCTATTCATTTGGCACCAATATATTCCTTTGAGAACAGCACGAGCAAGATGATAATATATTATTTCATCAACAAGCAATCAGAGTAAAGTATCTGAGACATGGTCAATCTATGTTGCATCTGAAGCTTAGAACACAGGACACATAACTGTTTGAGCCTTACCGTATCTTCCAGCCTTTCATTCTGCTGCTGAGTCATGTGACTGCCTGGAACAAAACAGAGAGAAAAAGTTTAAAGCCCCCAAATTTAACTGTTAGAGTCATACTAGGTACATAAGCAAAGTGACAATAGAATACAAAAATTAGCAAAAATCTTAAGTTAATTTTCTCAGTAGCCTCTGGGGGAAGAAAAGCTAAAAAGGATAATATCAAAGATTGTAGAAAACATTAGAGACACCTGTTAGACTCTGGTAATACCTATGGAGTTTAATTCACTGCCTCTTGCCCAAAACAGCTAGGCTTAACTCAAATCCAGCACCATTTGAAGCTGCTCTCCGTCTAACACACAATGCAGGCGTGACCAGGATTCACCTAAGGAATTTCCTTTTTTAAAAAACATTTTCCAATTTTTTGTTCCATCCAGCTTATTTATTTATTTATTTTTGGATTTATATCCCACCCTCCCTGAAGGCTCAGGGCAGCTAACAACGAGGCACAAGTGCAAGAGTTAAAACAGATAAAAACAGCCTAAAACAATAAAACAATATAATACAACAACAAAGTGTCAGCTTGAGGAAGTACCACTGTAAACTCAAAAGCTCACACACTGATGTGTCATTTGGTTGGGCCTAATAAAAGGTATTGTGGATTGTGTCCTTTAAAAAAAGTTTCAGTATATCTTGAACAGTTTAAATAAAAAATACAAATTGAGAGCTAGCTGTTTGACATTACTTTTCTAACTAAAGTATTTACTACTAAAGAAGCATCTGCATTTTAAGCATAAGAAGCAGGAACTGCAGTAAGATTTTCTACATCCATTCTTTTTAATCTCTTCCCCCTGCTGTTCCTAGTACTTTGATTTCATTCCGTGAGTAGTATTCTCACCACATTCATAGAAAATCAAGAACTGATCATGCATGAAGCAACCCTTAATTACACAAGTCTCTAGTTTCCCTGTGTTCCCATACATACATACAACCATGTAACACTCCTGAAAGTTCTCACCTGTGGCTAAGAAAATACCATTACTTTAATTTTTACTTTACCAAACAGGATGAAACTTTTAAGATTTATTTTTCATACTGCACAGAGGGACACAAAAACAAATCAAGGAGTGTTACAACAGCACAACAATTCACTGCAAAAAGATCATAAGGTATTATGAACAGCTGAGTAAAACCAGAAAAAAATTAGCTGTAGGTTTAACCAGGGGTCATTTCGTAGAAAAAGAGCTAGGGGGACTCATTAGCATAACTCATTAGCATATGCCACACCCCCTGACATCACCGAAAGTGTGTCCTCCCCACAGCCGGCAGCGACCTCCAGCGGGCACCAGCAGGGAGCTCCAGGCCCCGCCCTCCCGCACCTCACCCGGGGGGATGGCGTCCCCCCGCGTCCCCCCCCCCCAAATGACCCCTGGGTTTAACCATTTTTCTCTAAATTTGTCAGATTACTGCTGAAGGAGCACTCTTATACTTTAAGAAATAACACTCTACTATCCCCTGAATGAATATGTTTTCATTGAAGACAAAGTAATAATAATAGAATCTAATTTAGGATAAGTATACTAAAAATTAGAGGTTTAAAATAGAAGAAAAAGAAGAGATTGGATTTATACCCTGCCCTTCAGGGTGTCTCAGAGCGGCTTACAAACTCCTTCCCCTTCCCACAACAGACACCCTGTGAGGTAGGTGGGGCTGAGAGCAATGTTCCCTCTAAGCCGCGCAGTCTTGTGAGCAAAAATTCTACTTTGTGAGTTACTGGCATTAAAGTTGTGAGCGAGCGATTGGGCTACTGCATAAATCAGTTTGCTCTGGAGCCATCTTTCCTGAGCCACGACAAAAATGTGTGAGCTGGAGGCTAAAAAACTGTGAACTAGCTCACACTAACTCAACTTAGAGGGAACACTGGCTGAGAGAGCTCTGACAGAAACTGCTCTTTTTCAAGGACAGCTCTTATCAGAACTACAGCTTGCCCAAGGTCATCCAGCCAGGTACAAGTGGAGGAGTGGGGAATCAAACCCGGTTCTCCCAGATTAGAGTCCGCGCACTTAACCACTACACCAAACTGGTAGAGAGAACATACAATTAATAGTGAGAGACAAAAAACTCAAAATTGCAGACACAAAACTAATATATCATTCTTACCATTCAAACTTTGCTGTACAGTGAAAGACACACTGCCATCAGAATGGATGTAAAGATTGTCAATATCTTTCAAGACTATCATCTGTAACACAGAATCTCCTCCTTGAGCCATTAGCTCTCTCATTTTACAACAGCACTGGAAACAAATAGCCCATGCTTGTTCTTCACTGATCGGCTGCTCATAATATTGAAGAAACTCAGCTAATGAGACCTTAACATCTTTTTTACACCGCATTCCAGAAGGCTGCCCTCCCCCTTTCCCCATTTTTTGAAAACTTAGCTGCCATGCAGAGAAATAAACTATGCACCCTTGAACCCTTTTATGTGTTTTTACTATGTAGCCCAGTAACGGGGGGG